GCCCGGCCCCTGTAAGACTATTTTAAAGCCTTTTGGTAATTCAATAACAAATATCCTTTGGATGAGATCCAAGGTGAACAACCAATATAAATTATGTCGATACAACATAATATCATGCTTCAAATTTCCCTTTTATTGGGAGGCAGAAGTTATTCTATACATTGAAAGTGTAATATTAAAATATGAAAAAGCCAAATAAATGTCATTATTGACATTCTTGCTCTCCTCCTCAATTTAACCTAACAAACTATTATATAAGGAGGGGCTAAAAAAAATTCCCTCTCATGACATGTAAAATAAATTATAGCATTATAAATAGATGTTATATTCAAAGTTAAACTGAATCAAAATGAAAAAATGACTAAAAAGTCAATCTCCAAAAGTCTTGATAAGAATGTGAAAGTTTATTATTTTATCAACAAATATATAATAAATTCATACCACATGAGGAGTGCTATGCTAGGTACTATATTTACAATGGTGAACAAGCTAGACATGGTCCCTCTCTATGGAGCTTATAGTCTAAGGAAATAGGTAACAAACAAAAGAAAAAGATATTTATAGATGATGATAAATAGTATACAGTAAATAAACAGCTTGTTGAGGTAAAGAAAAACTGAAGGAGAACCCAACTTTGCAGAGAGTCATTCATTATCTGAGACCTTAGCCTACAGGTGTCTGATCACACGAGGCTTTGTAGGCCATATGACATTAACAATAATAGTGAACATTTATTGAGTGCCAGGCAGTTATACTGCTTTACATGAATTATCTTCTTTAACTTTGCTACCATCTATTACTTAACTTGCCCAAGATTCCACAGCTACTGAGTAGTGAAACCAGAGTTTGACTCCAGGAAATATGATTGAGGACCCTTATCGCTAATATAATGAGAAAGAGTTTCAATATTTTAAGTGGGAATTACAGAATCTCTTTTACTTTTAAGATCCGCTGAAAGCAAGGTAGCCACTGGAAGGGGCAAACTGGAAGCTCAGCCAGGAAGCCAACAGATGAGTGCAGACAAGAGAGAAGAGAGATCTAGAGCACTGTGACAGTCACGGAGATGAAGGTGAATGACTAGATTCAAAATAGATTCTGAAGGCAGGATCAATGAGACTTGCTAATGGATTGACCCTGACTTGATCAACCATATAAGTAAGCAGTGACACGATTTGCTAAGAAAGAGTGAACGGGGTTACAGGGGGAAAAATCATTATATCTGAACTACCTACCTAGCTGGAAATTTAAATGTAGTATCATAATCACACAGATGGTATTTAAAGCCAGGGAATGAATGAAATTCTAGGAAGAGAGAGCAGATAGAAAAATGAACAGAGAAAGAAGAGATGACAAAGCAGGTCTGAGTCCAGAGAATACTGACAGAAGCTATGAATTGGAAAAGAAGACAGAAAATGTGACTGAGAAAGAGCGATTACAGAGATAGAAGGAAAAGCCAGGAAATGTTGTGTAATTTAAAGGCAATGAGGATTTTCAAGAAAAAGGAAGTAGTCAATTGGTACTAGAAGTGGGAGATGGAGTACAATGTGTACAGAGAAATGTCCATTACATTGAGTAGCTTGTAGAGTACTGCTATTCTTTTAAAATTATCCTTGGTGGAGTGGTGAGGAGCGGCAGCTAGACAAGGGTGGATAAGAGTGACTCAAAGGTAAGGAAATTATGACACTTTGTATAAGCACTTTTGAGAAGTTTGGTGATGAAGAAGAACAGGGAAATGAGGGGAATACATAGGTTCAATAGAAATTTTTTTTTCTTTTTAAGGTAGTAGATACCAGAATATATTCTATATGGGTGAGACTGATCCAGCAATAGGAAAAAGACCGTTAATGAGGCGACAAAAAGGTGGTAATTAAAGAAAGAGGATAGAATCCAGAAGAATGTGGCCTCTGATAGGAGGAGAGACATTCCATCACAATTAAAGAAAAAAAAAAAGAGAACATGGTTAAGGTGTGTTTGGGGTTAGGAATAACAGCATTCATTTACGATAGGTTCAATTTTCCAACTGAAGTATAAGCAAGAGAACTGGTTGAGAATAAGGGTATTGGAGGAGGCTACAAGGAGGCTTGCAGAGAAAGGATACAGTATTATTATGAGGAGTGGTAAAGCAGGACTACTAGAGAAATCTAGTGCGATTGCTGGCAATCCTTAATACTAACTGATGTTTATAATCTTGAATCTGAAGATTATTGTAGATTTGTATCTCATACAACATCACAAATTTATTTTTAAAATAATTTTACAAATTAGTTTAAACCTGCAACATCACAATATTATTTCACTACATCATGCTCTTTTGGTATTATGTTCTATAATCAACCTATTAATATAAAGTATACCAGTTAATGAGTGCTTGACTTTGTACAAGGAACTAGCCAAGTACTTTATCTAATTTAATGAATTATCTAATCTAACCCTCATTAACTCCATGACATGGGTATCATAATTATTGTCATTTTATATATGAAAACACTTGAAGCTTAGAGAGGATAAATAACGTGTTAGGATTCACGAAGCTGGTAGAGAATTGAGCTAGGATACAAACCCAGGTCTATCTGACCCCAAAGCCAGTGGTCTATGCCACTAGGCATTCTCTCATTTCAATTTGGCAAAGTATATAGGACCTTTAGAATTCCACGAAAATTTACCCATTTTGGGGTATAGTAAAATGGATATTCTTAAACTTTTGATAGAAATAAGAATAGTTATCATTTCAGAAAGCAATTTGGAAATATGAGTCAAGAACTTATTATTAAATACATTCATATCATTAATCTCATGATTCTATTCCTAAGACCTATGCCAAGGTAATGATTCTA